AAAAAAAAGCTTAGTTACTGTTTGAGTATTTTGTGGGGTTTCTTTGTTTCCTGGTCAAATTTTTATTCTCTGCCTTCTAAACCTCTCTTACACAATAATCACAATGAGATTTGTGTGATCCTCTCAACTCTACACTCAACTCACATGTTTATTCTCAATCTTTCTCTATCACCCTTTTCCTTGCATTCAACTCAGTTTTGCAACTAAACTAATCCACAGCTTCGAGATTTCGGCCCTCATGTTTTCGTCACAACACGATCTATTTAGAAATGAAAATAAGAAAAGCAGGAAGAGAAAATGTTATGTCTACAACATGTAATATCCCAAGATCTGGAAACACAAATATTTCCAAAATATAAATTTTGACATTCTAATTGTACATTTTTTATAGTCATAGTAGCATCAGCAAAAAATAAATAAAGACTGTAACAGCCTATTGCTTGTACTTAAACTGCAGTTATACACAGTATAATATTCTATATTTTCCTGCTGACAAATAAATAAAAACACAGTCTGTGTTCAACGCAACAGTGGATGTATGTATGCACTGCTTGTATCTGAGAAGTGGGTGTAATGTGAAAACCTACAAATAACGTGCAAAATGACACTTTAATATTTGACATGCCTTAATACCTAAATGACTCCGACTTCACACTATGGTGTTGTGAAATGTGAGCTGCTACTTTTTGGGCATGTGGGTGGAAGCTGTGAGACTGATACGAAGCTGCAATATATATACACATGCAGTCTCAAACTGAATGTGGCTTTCTGTGAGGTTGCATGAGTACCAGTCATACTCACAGGCCATCCAAAAAGTACTTTGGTCAGGTCGAAAGTACTTAGCCTGTATCAGAAAGTCTCTGTGTCTTTGCAATACTTGCATTGCATTAGTTGATTCTGAATTATTAACTTAGTACTCCAACCTCACATCCAACTATGACCAGATCTGGCTCCAAACAGCCAAAATGTAAAAGCAATAATGAATCAAGGCACCATAATGGCTGCATCGGTCTTTTGTAATTATGTTATATTCTGGCTTTGAGTGCCTAAGCACAGCCATAAAACCAGTATAATGCTGTAGCGAGTATCAAGCTTCCTGATTCAATATTTTGGTGGAAAAACATTAAATGGAACACTGTGGAACTTTACAGAGACATTAAAGATATATTTTTCACTCTGTTAGTAAAAAACATTATTAGTTTGGCGTAAATTTCCTTAAAAGTATGTTTGTTTTAAATCAGTTAAATGAATGTAATTTTAAGGAGAGGCAGTGCCGCAGACGCTTATCTATCCAACTGTAAAGTCAGTACTCTTCTCACCATGAAGAGGAGCCTCTAGTTAAACTGCTGTATCAGTTAATCAGCATTTATTGTAGTGAAGATTTTAACATTGCTTTATCAGCCGTCTACAACCAGCTATTCTTCTCTTATTCCAGCTTCCTTGCAGCCTGCGGCTCTTTGCCCTCTGGCTAAATCTTGATCCCCAGCCTCCAGATAATGACAACAGCTGTCCTTGGGGCTTCCATCCAAATACCCTCCACTCCTCCTTCTCCTCCTCTTCCTCACCCCTCCCCACCCAGCAGCCAGCCAGACGGTCAGTCGGTCGGCGGGCACGTTGAGGCTGGGCAGGCATCCATGTGATACATAAACTCAGGGTGGATTTACAGAGGCAAATCATGAAAAAAAAGACTAAGCTGCTAGAGAGAATTTATTCTGGTAGCGAGCTGAGACAGCAATTTCTCTCTGGTACTTAAATTCCTGAAAACATACTTTTTTTATAATCAACGTCTTGCTATTGATGAGGATCTTTGTGAGCGTGTGATTTTAAGCTAAAGTTAGATCAACAGTGGTGGGTTCACATCAGCTAATCTACTCATAACGGTGGGGCTGGTGATATCTAGATATGGACATAAAGGACTGGAAGAGGAAACGAGAGGCGCAGTGTGATTCACTGTTGCAGATTTGCTTGAAGAAAACTGATAAAGCACAAAGAGAAATTATTAGACAAGCAGACATCTAGATTTTAATGATTAAAACCCTGTTTTTAGCATACATATTGTGCCTTTTTTGAACATGTTAAATAAAAATTTGGAGTCTTTTTGGGTTAGATTATGATTTCTCATATCCTCCCCACACCAGCTGTTTTAGGGTTAGGGGTTAGGGTTAAATCTGCTGATTTATATCAGCAGTCGACTTTACTGAGACGTGGGAGGAACAGCGATCATCAACCAAGCTTACCTTTAGTTTGTACTCCTTCTCCTTGGTAACTTTCGTGAGCAGTTTGGCTTTCTGTCTGGTCAGCGCCTCGATCAGAGAGTCACACTGAGCCACGAGGCAAGCTTCAAACTCCACTCCGTTCTCCTGAAGAAGAAAGACGAAAGCAACAGAAGCAGCGCAGTCGTTATGAATTGATTAAAGAAAGTGAACAAGTAATATTAACTCATGAAACCACCATGTTTGGCTTCCCTGCCAAAATAAATCTACATTAAAGTGTTCTGAAGTGAGCATCGTTATGGGTTTGGATCACAAAAGCAAAGCACTGAGACGAAAATAGATCACTTGGCTTGTTTTTCTTCAATTAGCAGCACACTGTTTGTTACCCATTCATTTAGCCCACCACATTATGTTCTATTTTTGCTTCAGCTGCAAAACCACAAATAAATACAGCGTTAATTATTTCAATACACCGCACACAAAAGCAAGCCTTTCATCGTATTTACCATCCATTTGCACAACCATACTCGCCACCATTTTTCCCTCAAGATGCAACACATGAAAACGCCGTCCTGTCACTTATAATTGTGGTTTTGTGTTTCGATTTACTAATATTCCCTGACAGTTAGCAGCTTTGTCTTTGGGCCAGCAAACAGAATGCAATGATAGAGTATAAGCAGACATCTGCAGCTGAAAAGGCTTCATTGCATTACGCTTAAAATTCAAAAACGTTCTTCAGATGATCAAATTGCAAAAGGGTGGGAGAGGAGAGGAAACGCTCAGTGCATGATGGTTGTGTTAGGTTAGCGTTAGTTTATCTTCATATCAGAAGGACACAGAAGGCAGGGCGAGCACGAGAAAATCTGCAAATACAGCAGGGACTAAATCAAAAGCATTGTAAATACAGCACACATAGGCTGGTGGCTGTTTTGAACTTATTATGCAAATCCCTATTTGTGTAACAGTTAAAACAGTTGCATGTCAACATCACTCAAACATTGCTAATTGGAAAATCAAACATGTGTACAACTGTAATTTTAGGACCCAAATTCATAATTACTCAGCTATAACTCCAAAGAAATCTAATTAGGTGAACACGAGACGCCAGAGGTTAAACGCAAAGGAGGGAAACTTGCAGCACACAGAGGATAAGAAACATTACAATGTGACAAAGATAAGACTGAGACTATTTAAAAACAGGGAGAGGACGAAGACACGTGCGAAAACAGTCAAGGCAGTCAGAAAAACAGGAAGTCAAAAATGAAGACACCAGAGAAAAAAACTGTTAAATTAAAACCGAAAAAAGCCCAGAGGAGAAACTCACAATAACACAATACAGATAAATGAATTTCAAAATATTAAACTTGGATATGTTGAGTGTTGTTCTTGTTGCTTTTGGCCATTCATTTCCAACAGACTGGAAACTTGTCAGCATATAATTTGAGATGTTTTGTAGCATTTAAGATGTTGATAATTAAGATCCTGTGTCATTTAGTTTTTCCTTCCAGTAGATATAAAAACAGGTTATAAATGAGGTAATGATCCAGAGGGGAGTTTTATCTCCCTACAAAGCCCACTTGATAATGAGATAAGGGTTCAGTAGTGATTTCCAGTCAAGGTTCCTCTGCTCAGTCACTGTTTAGAGCCCGAGGAGCACTGGAGATATTTCTCCTCAATCCTACATTCTACTTTCTCTTTGCCCACCTAGCTCTTTTTTTTCCTTGTCTCAGACATAGCAGAGTAAAGATAAGACTGCTTTTTTTTAAAGCTAAATCCTCTTCATTTTGTAATAAGACTCTTAATGCCCACTCGTGGTGCTGTAGGATATATCAGTGCAGACAGTGTGTAAAAACATGTGTGTGCTTTGTGTGCATGACTGGTAGACGCTGCTGGAGAGATCAGCTGCACGGTAATGCTGTCTAGAGGGAATGCTCACACAAATGCACGTATTTGGATGGTATGTTTTGTTTTTAGTTTATTGATTCTATGGATTTGCTTCTTTGCTGCTGAGTGTCGAGTCCAAATGTTGCTCTGTGAGCTTACTGTACATTACCAGGGAGTTCCCCAAAGCATGATCAATGCAGTCTTAAAACAACAGTAGTAATGTAGAGTAAATTTTGCAAACAATATCTACATGTGCAGAAATGAGCAGACGTGGATATCAGTTGTGGTGCAGTCTGATACAGCCAGACTTCTGTCTCATCATGCTTATGGAGAAACATCTAAACAAAGCATGGAAGCCCTGAAATAGCTTTTTAATAGGCAGTTTGAACATGTTTACCTCTAGAAACAGCAGATTTCAGTAAATTTCCTGAATAACTAAATACATAATCTATCACTGCACTCAGAAACTAAAAATAATTCAAAATGAGGTGCATTTAGAAGGTAGCTTTAAACTAAGGCACTAAGGGGCTCAAAGTATCCATGAAAATATCCTCTACATCATTACGTAAGCACAAGCACCCTGAAGCCACTTCAGAGTCACTTACATCCCCAGTCTTCCTCATTCTGATGCTCAGTTTCAACCTCATCAGTTTAAGATGAGTTCTTGTCATGTGATTAGCTAGCTATATATTTGCATTAATGAGCAGTTCATCAGGTATGTCTAACAAAGTGGTCAGTGAGTGTCTATTTCATCATTAATGGTGGCTTAACAAGTCCAGCACATGCTTTTTAATCTAGTCATTTGCTGTGACGACCCCTTCACCATCCAGAGATCTCTGCTGTGCTTTGTCACGCGAGTCCTGATCAGAGGGCGATGAGCTGCACGAGATGCACCCGAACCTGCTGCGCTCAGCTACAAAAGCTCCTTCGTTCCTGACAGCCACTCTCTGACACTCTCAGGGGAGGATACCCTCTGCATGAAACTGCACTAGCATGCATTTCGGTTTCTTTTGCTCTCCACAGACATCCACCCATCCAACATACTCTGTAGTGCTGACTTGCTAATAAAGATAAGTCTTACTAACTTACTAGTAAATAATTCCTACTTCCTTAAGGTCCCATTTTGTGTCTCCCATTTCTAGTCAAAGTCTTTGTTCAGTTTGCTTGCAGAGATTTATTATCCTGAGTTTTTTTTTTTATTTGTTTTTTAATGACATTATTTGCCACTTATGATGAAATCCCCAAATTCTTCACTAACAAGCTATTCTATTCTTAAATTCATCCAGGCTATCTTTATGGAGTCGTTAAATCTCTCAGAGATTCATTTTATGCAAACACAACAAAATGAGCTAATACCCAGATGTTTCCAGTGCCAAAGTCAGACATTGTGTATGCCTAATCACACACATGCAGCTGTTGCGGCACTACTTTACCCTATTTATGCATTTGCTCATGACACAGATCAGTCCTTCATTGGCCACAAAACATCACCTGCCAAACATAACGTTCTTGGAGAAACAGAATATCTTATTTTTCTGCTGGAAAAAGTTTCATTCCTCAGAGGAAGGGTAATAGCTGACAGTTCTGAGATTTTTCTGTTCTTACTTCCATACAAAACTTGAAAAAACAAAACAAAACATTGATTTATTCCTATTTCTCAAATGGTCTTGTTTTTGTAACCCCCCAAAAATAAAAATTTGCCTACCACTGATATTTAGATGTGAACAGATCCTTCCTTTTTGTTTTGCCGTTGCATTGCATTGTGGGATACAGTTGCTAATGTTATGGCCCAGTCATACTAGAGTAAAAGAAAGCTGGCAAACTCTTTGCAACTAAGAAAAATCGGTGGTTTCCCAGTGATTGCATTGATTCTTTTCACATTCAGCAAATGAGTGCAAGTAGTTGCAGTGGCCATTGCTCTCATTCTCTCATCCTCTGGGTAATCACTTGGTCATCTAGTTGCCCAGAGTTTGAGTGTGGGAACTTTTGATTACAAAGCACTGGTAAAGATTTGCAATAACTGACAAATGTAGATGGATTGGCAATGCATGGCAACCGATCGGTCGGTGTGCATCAGTTTATCAAAAGACGGGTTGAGATGATGTGAGCTTTGTGACATGCCACGTTATTCTGCTGGAAGCAGCCATCAGAAGGGTGCTTGCATGCTCAATAGCAATATTCAGGGTAAGCTATGGTGTTTAAAGGGGTAATTAGGGGTCCAAAGTATGCTGCAAAAATATTTCCCACACCATTAGATCACCAGCAGCAACACAAACCATTGATACAGGGTAGTATAGATTCATATGTTGTGCATTCAGAGATCCCTTTTTGCATAGTTTGGTTGTAACAAGTAATTTGAGTTACTGTTCAAAGCTCGAAGAAGTTTCTTCTCTCAACCTCTGGGCAATCAGTTGGTCACTGTGAGTACTTATGGTCGGTTACTGAATGAAAAAAACATTCAGCGTTGTACTAGGAAGTTGATACTAGAAGGAAGCTGATAGGTTTTTGTATCTTTTTGTGAAGAAAACTGCCCATCACTGATGTGACTATCATGCTATTAAGCCATCGTGACAAACCTTTGATCTATACTTGTACCTAAATTTACAGACTGGATTACTAACAGCATATCTTATGTAAAATTAAATGTAAAGGTGTGTTGTTACCTGTATCTGCTGGAGCATGTTTTTGAGTTGAACCAGGAACTCCTTGGCATCTTTAGCTTTGTCAGAGACGCCATTCAGCGCCTGGGAAATCTGACACTGCAGAGACAAACAGAGAAGGAAGATATAGAACGATTAAGATGCCTCAAAAGAAATGTGACCTTTTTACTGATGGATATAGACATTCACTGCTGTACCTCTCTCCTTACGATTTTAACCAAAAATTTCAAATTCAGATTCATCTATCAGTCGATGGATCAACTGAACACTCAGATTCATGATTATTTAGCTTACGGCTAGCTTAGGGTTTTAAAAATAAAAACTCAACTGGAACAAATAAAAATACACTTTCAGATATTTTCTCTGATGATTCTCACATTTTTAGAAACTTATAAAATGCTCTCAATTTCATTTTTTGGGATTCCAAGAGTGCATCTTTTATTTAATGATACTATGACTGCTTAACCCAGTCCAGCTGTTTAACTGCCACATCAGGATATTAGCTGAAAAAAAAAAACAGGAAAATAATAAAATAAAAAAACAGAAAATATTTATACAATCTGAGGAATATACCAGGAACCACTCAGGAACCAGTTCAGTATTTGTATGT